TGAAATGAACTTTCAGCCTTCCTTCTCTCTCTCCCTCTTTTTTTTTTTTTTTTTTTTTCTGCCTTTCCCTACAAAACTTCCCCTGCCCAGCCCTCAAATGGACTTTATTACTTCATAGAAATAACTATGTGTTACGTAATTCTGCTTTTCCGGACTGAAAGAAAGTGAAAGGAAAATGCTGGAAAAAAGATGCTCTTAAAAGAAATATACATGGGCTTTCCCCTACATTTGGATTTATTCCAAAATGGGATAATGGGATTTATTCCAAAATTGGGAAACAAAACAAAACAAAACAAATGAACTTTCTACATTTCTACTCATTTTCAATGGCCACCAAACTGAATGATGTGACATACCTCCAATCATAAAAGTGCCCAGATCAAAAAAAGACAACAAAATGTGTCTGGTAAAGATTTGAGAGACTAAAGAAACAAAGTGTAAGGGAAGGGTGGGTCCAGGTTTCTATTTTTGTCTTATTTAAAACCAATTAAAATTCTCTACATTCTAGATTGAGACAAACAAGATTTATCATAGTTTCATGCTGTAACACTGTTTCCACCTAAAGCAAAAGAAAATATTTGGAGTTAAACCTAAAAGTTGGATCACTGGAAGAATTTTAGAAAACCAGTTTTGTATGTTTTAGGCTTTTAAAGAAAAACAGAACTGGGGAGTTTACAAGTCTGTTTTAAAACAGCTGGTGAGTTACCAACTGCGTCTATCAGTGCAAATCCAAGGCAGGATGTACTGAGGAAATTTTAAACTGATTCCCTCCTTCAGCAAGATTGTCTGCATTTTCACGTGTAAGGAGCGCACTATGGGGGGTTTCTGTTTTGCTTTTGAGGGATCTGAACATTCACATCTTTATAAGAATATCTTTGCTCCCTTTACCCTGCCGGAGCTCCCTTTTATTTTCCTTCTTTCCTTTCTTTCTCTCCTCCCCCCCCCCCCCACTTCTCACTTCTTGTGCTTTCAAGTGTTTGTGCTTTCTATGGCACAGCCAGCTGGACCCTAGCTAGACTTTTTAGAGTTGGGCGGCTGTCCAGGAGGCAGACTATGAAACGTCAGCCTCAAGTCATCGTGCAGCTGATGAATGACTCTTTACACCTGGCCCCTTCTTCATGCAAGCATCTCAACATAAGCACCAAGAAAAAAATAAATGGAAAGAGCCCTCTTATCCGAACCCCTTCTCCAGGATCTTTTGGGGAACCAGAGGTCCGAAGAAGAAAAAGCAGTAGTTACATAAAAACATCCTGGTTAGGAGCTGGTTAGAAGCTGTGCGGGGTACCAGGTTGGTAAGGATATGGAAAGAGAAAAAAGAACCTTGCTCGTGTGCTGGGATGACTTCTAAAGTTTATGAAGGTGGCCAAAGTTTTCCAACATGACAGAAATATCTATGTCTAAACTACAAGATTTCAATGCACCAGACTTGGACTAGGTTTTACTTTTCTTTTTCTTTCTTTCATTTCTCTAAGCTTTCCTCCTTAAACTAGTTGGTGTTTTCAGAAAAACTATCCCAAATCTCAGATTCTGAGTGAAATTTAACCAGGACTTCATCATCTCAAGGCAACAGGTTGGTCTTTGGTATAATCAAAAATATTTGGTTACAGTTTATCAAATGTCATTTTATGTTTTGTCATTAAATTATCTTGGGGGCTCCTTTTCTCTAGAATTTTCTGACTGTTTGGATTGGCTTTGCAATGCCAGTTTGCTCCAAAAAGTCGTTAACTCAATCATGTATCCTACATAATAGAATATGTCATTAACACTTCTCAATAGTCTTAATAAGAAGCAACTTTGCTTCTTGAAATGCTTTATTGTGGTAGAAAAAATGTTAGTCAAAAAGAAAATCAGCAAGATCTTTTAAAATGTGAGGCGTGAAAAAGAGCAGATTGTAGCAATATTACTAGAAGTCAGCTACAGGTCAGCCTCAGGGTTTGCACATTGTTTAGTTTGCATGTATATTTTTCTAAAATAAAACCTGGAACATTTGGAAAATAATTCAAAACATGATAATATTTTTCCATTACTTAAGGCACAATTAAGAGACTACTTCTAATGTAATAGGAAATAAGAACAGAAGAGGTAAAGAAGTGTCACAAGATTCTCTAAAACTAGAGTATGTATTTGAAAGAATGCAAAACATTTGCTTTTATTTAACATTTTGTTTCCATTTTGCTGTATCACAAAAATAAGTTGTATTGAACATTGTATTATTTAAGTAGAAAGTTCAGTGATTTGCATTTTCTGAGTAAGTGTAGTTAACTCTTTAAACATCCCATAGACATCCCTTAGTGAAAACAAAGCAAAACTTAAAAAATAAAACAACGAATTTCAGTAAATATCTGTTGTGACTTGGGAAGAAAACAAAACTGAATTTAAGTAACATTTTAAGGTGTGATAAAACAGAATATGGTTTTTGGACCATAGAATTGTATTTCTATCAACCAAAAGTATTCTTTATATGTATCATTTTCAATAACTATGACTGTAAAATTGAGTTATAACTACAAGCCAATCTTAGCCAGTGGATTTTTAAAATTCCATTCAGGCTTATCAAATAAAATATAAGCAGTATATACTTTCTTTAAAAGGCTTATAAACTATATTTTGAGATATAAGTGGTAACAGGGGCAAAAATAACATAGAAATAACTCAGTTATTTTCCTCTTACTCTGGGGCATCTTAGTGCTTCGTTGTACAGGATTAACTCTGTCAAAAAGTCCCCTGATGTGAAATATTATTGCACACTGACACCTCCCATACTTTCTGTGAATCAAACTTTCAAAACAAGGCACGTTTTCATACCTTCATCTGCCAGAATGTTATTAATATCTGTCATTCTAGAGGTACCATAACAATATTCAACAACTTCACAGCTCTGTTAAATTTTAGAACATAATAATCAATAGGTACCAGCACGATAGCCAAAGTACCTGATCTCATATTCCCAACTACCCTGATCTAATGACCTGAATATCAGCTTAGGATGCCTAATGGATCTAACTTCTTCAAAAATATTCCTGAAATTGATGGTTTTGGCTGGCTTGAAAGTAACAAGATCCAGATGCTGCCTGTCTACACAACACTAAACTACACAGGACCCCAAAACCGATATTTTAAAATTGCCTCTATATTTTTTCAATCTCTTTTCTCTCACCACTCACTCTCATTTACTCCTATTACACACACCACACACACACACACACACACACACACACACACACGCACTCATACAAACACACACATGCTTTCTGCCAGAGTAACTCTTCTTGACCCCTGCATCTTTGATATAATATACAAAGCATTTATTTCCCCACTAGTAACAGGTTAAAAGAAATCTCAAATAGGAAAACAATCATTTCATTCACGTCCATCTAAAGTTTCTTTTCAAATATATGCAGTAGTAGAAAACCAGGTCCAAAACAAAACATGATTTTTTAAACATTTGAAAAAATTTAGTCACATGAGTAAAAGGCATAGAATGTTCAATATTTTTCGGGCACCCCTCGAGTTTATTGTTTTCATTTTTTGGCGGAGAGAAGTGGCTGTGGATTTTCCCTTTTGAACTCGTCCTTGCTTTGCTGTTTCCTTGAGGAATAGCAGGCAATATTCTAAACCAAATCCCCTAAAGAGTTAAAGCCCAAGGCACTCAGCAGGGAGGCTGGTCTATTTAAGCAGCGGCAGCACAAACTAAATGCTCACAAAGCAATGCAATGGGGTCGACCTTGGAGGTGTAGAACAGATCACAGAATATTTGAAAAAGGAAAAAAAAATATAGATATAAGCAACAAATTTTAATATAATACCGAAAACCTCCTGCCTAGTCTAGTTTACAAATAGGTATTGTTTGATGACATGGAATAAACGGGAGACAACTACAGCATGAATTACTAAACCCTAATCACATCAGGGAGTCCAGTGACAGCAAGATCACTCGGGCACGCCTTACTCTCAGCATTTTATTTTTATTCAGAAGATGGTGGGGTCCAGATAGAGCAACACAAAATAATATTATTCACGCACTCAAGGTGGTTCACTACGAACACCCCCACCCATCAAGTCCAATTTAATTGATGAATCGGAAGAGTGATTCACACCGGAGAGTCTTTCATGTCTTAACTGAAGGATAAAGTTCGGGCTGGGCACAGCCCACTGCTTAGTTATGTGGGCTTGTCTCTGAGCCCCGTGATCATCTAAGCACACACACACACACACACACACACACACACACACACACACACAGCCTAGAGTGTTTAACCAATTAAAGTCCAATTATTATCAGTTACATTCCATGCCTGCTTAAAATCCAGGCCTCCTGATGGCAAGCAACACAGAAAAACAGAGTCTAAAAGTAAAGACCATCGATTCTGATTCTAAAGCTCCTAATTCAGTCTCTAGCATCCTAGTCATTCAAAATGTAAAATAAAGTCTGTAAGGCAACAGAAAACTAAAAAACAAAAAAACGGAAGAAGAGAAAACACCCAAACAAACTCTGAGAGCCTTCTGTAGGGCCCTTAGCCCTTCTTACCCCTTCTTTCATTCTACACTCAGCGATGAAAAGTTTGAGGCGCCCCCACCCTGGCACTCCTCTACAGTGGGAAAAACCCCTTTAGCGCTACAAACAAAGAACAGCTCACCAGAAAAGCCCCTGACATTATGTTCTCATGCCTCATAATCACTATTGTGATCTTCTTTTTACAACCCTGCCCATTTACAAAGGTCTTTACAGATATCAGGAGCATTTATGCTGCCAAACACCAACAAAGGAACTCCAGTGAAACTATTATCTGTCCTTAAAGAGAAAGCTACAATTCCGGGTCTGCTGCTTTTCTCCTCTTACGTCTTCCGACGCCTCATTAACTCCACTGGTATGTTACTAATTTCAAAGAAGAAGCAAGAGGTGACGGGTGAGGGTGAAACAATAATTCACATGCCTGTCTGGTTCCCACCCCGGTGCAGAACATACCACACTGATCGCCCGACCGTGGGTCGAGTCGTACCTTGGTCTGGAGATAATGAGGATAGTAGTAAGTGTACTGGGGGTACATTTGTGGCTGATCCAGGCGTTTGCCCATGTAGCTGGAATCTTTATCTCCGAGCAGGGAACTGGATGACCGGGTATAGTGCCCCAGGCCGAGCTTCCTCTTAAACCACTATTCCTGACAGTCCGATGACTGATGAGGCTTCGGAGACTCCACCACTGGCTAGTTCCAACACGGTAAGAATTCAAAAAGCAAAGCAAAACAAAAACACACCAGAAAAAAAAAAAAAAAAAAAAAAAAAAAAAAAAAAAAAAAAAAAAAAAGCTGGGGAGTGGGATCTGTAGGAAAAAAAAGCCAGACAGACAGACTGACAGCCTCCCCAGATCTTGCAAGCTTCTGCCGGCTGCCAGGGTCTACTTGGGATAAGGCAGTTTGTTCTCTGACCAAGCTGTCTGTAGCGATGTCAATTGCCAGCTTTTGGAAAGGGGGGGAAAAAAAAATCAAAGTCCTTTTTAGCACAACTCCAAATCCTCCTCGCAGATCAGCTTCCTGTCTCCTGTTTGTCTCTTTCTCAACCTTAAAGGAAAAGAAAAGAAAAAAAAAAAAAAAAAGAAAGAAAGAAAAAGAAGAAAAGAAAGGAAAAAGAAAAAAAAAAAAGAAAGGAAAAGAAAAAGGAAAAAAAAAAGAAAACCGTGCACAGCTTAGTTTAAGCTGCTGTCTCCCTCCCAGAGTGACATGGTGTTCGGGGCTCGTCCTGTCCTTTCATTCACTTCCCCTCCTTCCAGCCAGTGGGTGGAACCGAGAGAACCTCTCCGGGGAGCAGCGTACGCAGTCCAGAAGGCTGCAGTATTTCCTCCAAGAAAAAAAAAAAAAAAAAAAAAAAAAGGCTGCTTCAACCCCTGCTGCAAGCAAAGTTCCGATTCCCTCTGCTGGCTATCTCGAATAGCAAAGCGATTTTTGCAGCAAACCTGCTGCCGCTGGAACAGAAACTGGAGAACTCAGTTGCAGGGGGGTGGTGGATTATTTCTTATCCTTCCCTCCATCTACCCCGCACCAGAGCTGCCTGCTTTTCTTTCCCTGCCAAGTTCCGAGGTAAGCCGCTCTGCTAAACAAAACACGGAAGACCACGGGAGGGAAGAGGAGATGAGGGGCAAGCAGGAGAACTGGGAAATAATAGTGGAGAGGAGCAGGAATGAACCTTGCTGATTAAGTGGAGAAGAGTGTGTCTGGGGCACTTTCAAAACCTGTTAACACACGCACGCCAGATGAGCCCAAGTCCTGGTTGAGAAACTAACCTTTTACTTCCTGGAGGACATGGAGCATTGAAAAGATTTTAGAGTGTACCCCAGGACTCCTACTAACCAGTCACCCATCACCTTACTAGATCAGAAATAACAATGCTTGTGCTTGCAACCATTTTGTAAAAAAAATCAGAAGTGACCCCGGAGGTTTCTAACTTCTTTATAAATAAAATCTTTTTTTTTTCCCATTGTCTCTTTCTTTATGATTATTTTAATGGATGGATAGATAGATGCTTAATCGCTTTATTGATACCGTCTTCAAAAGAAAAGAACAAAAAATATCATAATTACTTGGCAGAGTTTTTTTCCAATAATAATATTCTGGCATGTCTATCAGCTGCTCCATTATAATACAGATTGTTTCAGAAAATATATTTCCTTAAAGGGTCTCTTTTCAAGGAGGCAGCAGGGCTAAAATTAGACACGCCAGCTGTGTTGTACTGGAAGTGCTCTCGCGTGCCCGAAGCGTGGGCGGACCACACAGAGCTCCGGGTGGGCACTGAGGAGGGCTGCTCTGCTCTTCCAGCCCGGAGTCACCCCTTCAGATAAAACGTTTCTGGTGCACCCAGCTCCCTGAGCAAGGACATAGCATGGGGGCTCTGTGTGCGCATGGAATCCATGGGCAAGCAATCCCCACCGCCCTGCAGCAAGCGGGCTTCTGCTGAGGGGCACTGGCCTCTGTGAGCTAGGGAGAGCATTGTGTTTGTGGGTGACAGAAAAAGACGCTGGGTAAATATTTCCACTTTTTAATTTTGGTACGATTAACAGAAAGAAGGGGGGCAGATATAGGGAGATCTGATAACGTAATAATTGAGGAAATTAAGTCAATTCCGCCAGTGTTTTCCATGGGTTATTCTGGACCTCAGTGGGCCCAATCTGTGAGATGGTGATATTGCCAGTGTACCTGGGTAAAGGAGTGAGACAGAAGCAGATACTGACGATTCCACTGATTGAAAAATGCTTTGATAGCGTCCTAAGGCTCAGAAAATAAAATTCTGAGTCCCTGAGTAATCTGCACCACACCTGATCACTAAAGATGGGTCCCCGGTCCCCACTGCGGCCTTGGCCCTTGACTTTGCTTCTCACATAAGCTCCTGAGTCACACTGAGCTGTGTTGAGGACAGGACTGTGCGCTCTGACCCTCTGTTGTTCCCTCTGCCCTAGTGTTGCCAACCCCATCTCCCGCTCTTTCCCTGCAACCCATCCTCCTGACATCACTGTGAGCATCTCCTTCTCAGACTTGTGCTCCCAAAACCCTTGCTTGTGCCATAGGTGTCATACTTCCCCTAAAAAGATGGTAATCCTCCTCTGTTAATCCGGTAAGTGCTTGTTTATTCCATTATGTTCCAAACTCATGAAGACTCTTGTTCACCTGTGGCAGAAAAATGGGTGCTCAGAAAATGGTGATTAATATGTGAAATGTCATAAATTATAGTAACACAATCCCTACCTTTCCTTCAGTTCGTTTTGTTCTTTGCAACAGTTCTGGAGCTGAACTGGGTACAAGGGCTACAGATATTTGGACCAGAAGAAAGCCATTCTTTTATAGAATGCATATTCTTGTGGAGGAGATAACAAAAAAATAAATAAATATGCAGTATGAGATCAGAAAGTGTCTGATGTTATAAGGAACTATAAAGTGGAGAGTAAAGAAAAGCAAAGTGTCAGGGGTTCTACTTCTAAAGGAATACTCTTCCCAATAGAGCTCTGAGATTAAAGGGAGTGTGAACTGGGCTTTTTGCCCACTGTGGCTCATGTCTAGATGTCCCCCAAAGCCTTATTCTGTCATAGGTGTGCCTTTTTTGGAAATGGCTGGTTCTAGAGTGTGTGATGCTGGGACTGATTCACGGTGCAATGTTAAACTCAAGGACACTAGAATTAAGGGTATCAATGCTACCTACCCTAAGTACCCTGGATAAAATGTAAGTGATAGAAACAACTGTGGTTGTCCCTTGTTATTTTGCTGTCTTCCACCCACCATGAATTATTTCTCTTCTATGATAACATCCTGCCTTGGAACCAGCCAATAATGGACTGAAACCTCTAAAAGCTGTAAGCTAAATAAAAGTTTCCTGCTTTAACTTTGTGTATCGAGTATTTTGCCTTAGCAATGAGAAAACTAAGACAGTGTCCCTTCTGAATGCTTACTTTTTTTTTTTTTTTTTTTTTTTTTTTTTTTTTGGTACTGGGGATTGAATTTATGACCACACACATGCCAGGCAGGCACTTATGCCGCTAAGCTAAATCCCCAGCCCATGAATGTTCACTTCTAAAGATTTGGCTCCCAGCTAGCCTATCTGAGTTGCCATCCTGTCTCTGCAATATCTCCCGATCTCCTTTCTTTATTCCATAAAATATAATAATATTGTTACATTCAACCAGCGTATTATTAACATGTCTTTTAATGTGAGGTCTGCTCAAAATGTGTCAGCCTGCATCTAGTGGGTCAGCATTCTCCTCAGAGGGGACAGCAAAGGTCAAAACTGCGTCTTTGGATTGTACTTGATGATAAGGCAGAGGCTGGAATTAAGTAAGTAAGCAGTAAAGACCATAAAGCCAAGCTGGAGAGGTGCTTTCAGGCCAGATGAGACAAGTCACAGCAAGGAGTTATTACAAAAATGTAACTATTTGGAGTGCAGTAAGGACTCTACCCAAATATTTGGACTTGTGACCCAGATCTTTTCAACTATAGAACACTGTCACCCTAAATGACCTACTGAGATCTCCAAATCCTAAATCCTATAAGATCAGCATCATAGATGGCTTTGGGTATTCTTGTATTAATAATTGCCTAGCTCTTCCCGAAGGGAAAAGAATATGATCTTATTTACAAATAAAAGGCCAAATAAATAACTCCTCAGCTCTAAGCCATAGCCCACTTACATGTAAAGTTCCCAGCATGTGTTGATGCCATCAGCAATTTCTCCACAAATTGCCACTTTCCAAAATGCTATTCTGTTTCATTGGATTATTGTAATGTTCCGGGCGTCAATTGTCATTAGCCTAAGAATACTCATTGTACATTTAAAGCGTTTCTTAAGTAATGCAAAGGGAGTGTGCCACTTGTGAGAATCATGAAAACTGTTTTTTGTTGTGTTTTTCCCCCTCAGAAGCACCAGTAGCCATGGCAATTCACAAGGTGAGATACTCCGTCTGAAATAGTTTTTATATCATTTCTGCTCTGTTGGAGCAGTAGTGCTTCCCATTTAAATGATCAAGTTAAGGTAGGAGGTAACTGGTTTAAGGCACTCTCTAAATCAGAAGCCAGCTGCGTCCTGCTTGCCAATGAGCCAACAAATTTTGAACAAATCCAAGAACAGCAACCGGCATCATAAGGCCGTGGACACCCACCGATCCACGTGATACGCAGGCCAGGCAGAAGAGGCCCCGCTTTAGGATGAGTTTTTGAATACTGGCACGGAGAGGATGCTTCAAACTCACCCCAGGTAGGTGGGGAGGTGACAGTTATGAAATAAAGATCAAGTAGGCAGAGATAAAGACCTTTTTTAGTTTGCTCTTGACCTATCCGCTGAACGAATAGATAGGTCCTTTCTTTGAGCGATCCATTTTTCCAATTACAAAGACATTGGGGAAAGCAAATAGACATTAAGCATATAGAGGAAATCCATAATTCTAGTACTGCATCCTGGAAAACAGACGGGTTATTCTATGAGTAAGAAGCACATTCATGACCTTGAATAATTATATTTTTAAATCTTGACATTCTTTAACTTCTTGATTTTATTCAAATTGGTGAGATTCCTTTTCAATACAGCAGTTGTAAAAGAGATGTTGAACATAAAATTTCTTAAGTCAAGATTGTAGAGTGTAGATTACAACCTGCCTGCAAAAATCTTGTTTCCTCCTACTGAATATTCACCAGTTGTTTAGAAAAACACCCTAGACAAATAACGGCAAAGAGACAAACTAGTGATTCATGGATGTCTGGTACTAACTTAAACTATAGTTAATTATAAAAATATTGAAATTAAAAATCAAATGTTTATCACACATCATTCTAGCTGTTATTGTGAGATTTTTTTATTGGATCTGAGTAAGATTTAAAAATAGTAGACTTAGAGTAAAGAAATTACCTTTCGTAATATGAGTGGGACTCATTCAGTCAATTAAAGACCTTAAAATAGTGAGGTTCCTTGAAAACACAGATGCACACACAGATGCAAGACTCAGTATTAATCCTATGTGCGTCAGATTCCTACCTTATGATCATGCCTGTAGGTCGTTGTTTACCGGTTACCACAACAATTGCATGATCCACTGCCTGAAAATCTCTAGTCTCGCTCTGTCTCTGTCTCTCTGTCCCTCTCTGTCTCATTCCTTCTCTGTCATGTGTGTGAGTGTGTGGCATGTGTTTATGCATGTCTTATTGAGGTCTGAACTTAGGTCCTTTGCACTAAGCTCTATCCTCAGTCCTTTGTTATTATTATTTTTTAAATTTTGGACAAGGTCTTGGTATGCATCTAAATTAGCCAGAATGGGCTTGATCTTGTGATTCTCCTACCCTTTAGCCTCCCAGTGTACTGATTATAGTTGTGCATCACCATTCTTGATTGAGAAGAAACTTTGAGATCCCAGAAGACCTGGGTATGATGATCCACACTTATAATTACAGCACTCAGAAGGGTGACACAGTAGGATCTCAAGTTTCAGTCCCCCTTGGGCAATTCAGCAAGCCTCTGTTTCAAAAGAAAAACAATAAAAAGGGCTGGGGATGTAACTCAATGGTAGAGCACTCCTCTGTTTGATTCTTAGTACTTCCTCTCCACACACAAAACTCAGGCATAACAATATAAAAATAAATGACACTTGCCCTTTACCTAACCACTCTTCTTGATCTATGTCAGACATCAGTTTGACAAAAGGAAGTTTAGGCATTATTAATTTTAGATCAAAATAGTGGAAGATTATCACTTAAAACCTAAAGATAAATATTCTCAGAGAATAACTTTATTAATGGCAAAAGATGTATCTTTGAAATAAGTAAATTTAAACCTACATAATATACAAGATTTTTGGATTTTTAATATCATCTAATTTTGCCTTTGGATGTTTGCCTTATACTTTTCTCTTGAATTTTTAAAAATGTGAATTTCTATTTGCAATGTCTTGGAGGAAGAAGAGTTTTTTTCAGTCTTTGCTGTGGCTCCTTGCGTATTTAATACACAGGGTCGTATGGCTTGCTGCTCGCCACCCTGACTCAGCTATCAGCAGAGGAACAACTGGAAAGCACCAAAATGTAACACTTCAGGCAGTGGAAAATGAGTATTTGCTTTGCCACACGGGAAACATCCTTTTAAAGGATGTCACTATATTGAGCTTGTCCCTGCCAGTTGCCAACGCTAAGCCAGTTGAGTCAAGATGGCTAAATTTAAGTTGCCTTGGTGGAATCTTTCCTCAAAAAGCAGACTGAAGTCCAGGCTGAAAGGCTACCAAGAATTAGCAGGGTACCTAATTAAATTTGAATTTTAGAAAGTAGTGAATACATGTTCATTAGTATGCCTTTACAATGCATAATGATCACATTCATTCTAGGAAATTTGTACCCGTGTATAATACATCTTAATTCTTTATTTCCCTAGTCATTTGCCCTCCCTTCAATTCATCTTCCCCTCTCCATTCACAAAAGCTTTGTTTCCACTTTTTTCCTTCCATTCTCTTTTTTTCCTTTTCCTTTCCTTTCCTTCCTTTCCCCCATCTGCACTCCCTCATTCCCCTTCCCATCTGAACATGCTCATCCTACTCCCCAGTATCTGTCCTCCTCTGCTATGTGAGTGGGTGCACCTTGAAGCCACAATTTTAAGTGAAATAAGACACACAGGTTTAAATATCATATTGTTTCTCTTGTGTAAAAATCCCTAAGCTTAAATAAGAAGTAAAGTGGACTGGATAAATTTTTAACATAAATATAGCCCAAATATTATATATTGTATATCTCAGGAAATGTTCAGACTGTATATGTAAAATTGATCATTTCTTCTGTAAGATTCAAATTTAATTGGGACTCCTATTTGGATTTCCTAAATTTGGCATCTTTCCTCCTAACTGGCACACTGAAATGATTCACTACAGGCTTTTCAGAGGCTAAAGATCATTTGCCAGAAAGTCTAAGTTTAATAACTTTGGACAATGGGTTAATATTTTCAATTACCTTTACAGTCCAATTGGATAAACCAAAAATGATCCCAAATTATATCTCCCTTAATAGTCATAAGCCATAATGAGTCAGTAATAATCAACCCATACAGAATCCCAGGAGCTCTGTTTTGATTGTAGCTTTAAACTGGTATCTTTCCTGCTAGTTTGACAGAATATTCAATTTTTTCTTAAACTGACAGAGAACTCAATAAAGACCTGCCTGTTGAAAGTGACAAGTGACTGGAGCTCTAACTTTGATATCAGAAAAGTTCAGTTAAGATAGAGCAGATGAAAGTGCAAAAAAGATGAGAAAAAGAAGTCAAGGGCACTGCTGCCCTTGAGGTGTGGTCTACAGACAAGTGCTGATCCACCACGTGGTATGCAGCCATGCCAGCGAATGGGAGATCAATAACAAATGCTCATTAAAATCATATGTCTCTTGTTTGACTGGAGGACTGTCTGAACTTATATTTTGGAAGTCTGATTTTTGCATGTCATGTTTTCTAATAATTTTTTTCATTTTATAAAATATCAGTTGAGGTCAATTAGAACAAGACAAAAAACAGCCTTTCAGCACAGATAAGTTGAAAAGCACTGATCTAAAAAAACATACAATTTTATGATTTTTCCTGCATTTTTATTTGTACATTTCTAGTGAAAGATGTTGTACTGATTTGTTTTCTAATTTTAATACAAGGACAACTACACCACACTGAAAACATTTAGTATCTTTGAATTATGTGTTCCTGTTTTCGCAACTGACTCACTTTTGTCTATTCCTATTTCTGTAAAGTGTATACTACGTTGCTGACTCCTATGAAGATATCTAAGAGTATTGACTCCAGTGTGGGCGTCTTGATTTTGAGTAACTGAGCCTGGTAAGATCGACCCCTGATCTGGATAATCAGTGTAAAGTGTGTATTATCTCAGTCTTTGAAGATCACTCTAGAACTCTCACATTCCATATTACTATGAAGCGCTTGCCATTAAACCAAGAGAAGACTGCATTTCATTGCCCTCAAAATACATTGGCCTACCCAGGAGCCCGTGGTGAAGTTTACCTAGGCAACTGAGGCTGACACTCCTTAGCCAAGGGATATTTGAGATTCTTCTGCAATCCGCTGAAGCTATGTGCTGAGAGAACCTGACATAAAAATAATCTCACAATTTATGATTTGCATTTTAGAGTTTGCATCCATGTGAGTAGCACTATAGTAACCATGGCCATAGGGTCATCCCAACACTTTACAGATCCTTGAAAATAGTTGAACCTCTGCTGGCCTCCTTGCCCATTCTCTCCCACCAGGGGCTATCTGTATTCTGTATTCTCAATGTTTATGCTCATTATGCAGTCAGGAAGCATAATTATTCATTTTTCTTTAAGGAAGTTTATGACCAAAGGTAATGGGAGAAACATAAATGTACTGACTGTTTACTGAGACTCGTAAATGCTATGAATACAGACAAATAATTGTCACTTGGAGATTTCTTCTTGTGTAGAATCTTTGTCTTTAGCAATTTAACTACCGAAAATTTACCCACCTTCAGGAGAATTATTTAGTAGGAAATAAAGCTTAGCACCTATCTCATTCCTTACTCCTTCAAGGATCATCCTTTCAGAAAACCAGCTTTCACATAAAACTCAGAAGGTCACTTGTTACTAGGGCTAGTAAAACTAAATTAGTAAAAGCTGACCTGCTAAACAAAAATGCCAGATTTTTAACATTTGTAGAGCTCAGGACTAACATTAAGTAATAGGTTCTCTGATTTCTTCTATGAGAGATAAATTTTGGTGCTCATAAATTGTGAAGAGCTCGGGTGAGAGTTCAGGAGTTGTGGTGAAATGCTCCTACTTGTTGGAGTTACCAGGCTCTGCTTACAGCCACAGTGCACTATTGCTCAGACTGAGCCCATCTTGTGAAGTTTTCCAGGAAGGCTTGGCCGTGGGTGATGGAGAAACCACTGGGCAGTCTTGAGACTCCTGAACTTCTTTTCACTATCCCCGAGAAAGGAACAGCAAACAGTGACACTTGGGTTAGGACAGTCAAAGACTCAGCCTGTAGGTGGCCTGCTGTGGCTTCTTACCTCTCCCGTGGATGGCTGCCTTGTATTTTGTATTTTGCAATGAACCTACTCTCACCCACTGCATTCCTGGCCATTTCCTCAGATTTCCCAGAACTCTGCCTGCTTTGAACTCTGCAAACAGAATTCAAAGCAAGCCACCCTAACAAATATTGTTTTTTTGTTTTTTGTTTTTTTTTCTGTTAATACTGTAAGATTTCTCACTAGCTCATGTGTTTACCTTTTGTTCTTCACCCAGTAAGAAACAGCCAAGAGTACTTTTCAGGATTAGCTACATATCGTCAAACAGCAGTTTACAGAAAGGTTACAGAGAAGACTCCCTGTCCCCATCCTCTAGACAGTGACAGCCAGAAAAGTGGTATCCGGCCCAGAGTCCTCTCTGTGCTTCCTATCACAGGAGGAAAACACTGAGTTCTCAGCCCCCAAAAAAAGACAAATTATTTAAAGGAACACAGAGACTGCTGGTATGATAGATTCCCGCAAACCGTGATCTGATATAAGATATATCTTTCATTTCTCTCTGAATAGAGTGTGCAGGAAATATGCCAATGAGTATGTTCATAATGGTATAGAGACTAAGACATTTTTCTTTTCCCTTACTAAAAGTCACTCTCCCAGGGAGAACATACAAACCAGAAGAAGTGAAACAGCCGGGGATCTTTCTACTACATAGACCTGCAGATTCTAAGGGTTTCATACACCATTGTCATGAGGTAGCTTCTTAATGTCCTGTCTGAGGTCAGCTTCTTTTTTTGCCATAAACTCTAAAAATTAGTTTATTTTCTTCCTAAAGAAATAATACTTATGTCAGGACCCCTTGAAAAATTGCCTGCTGTTGTTCCATAAACTTTAATGGGAGGATCTACCCATTATGACTCAGGATAAATGTATTGCATTCAATATGTTTGGTTTGGGAAATCTTTTTGTCAGTTCCAGGACAACGAATTGTCCATTATGACATGCGCTTGCTAAGAGTAGCTAAGAGTAGAAATATTTAACCTCCCTATCCATAAACATTCTTTTCCCCCAGAGAAGTAAAGGTCTGCACCCGTCAAGGCTTTAATGTTATTTATTTGCCAGCGAAGGTATATGACTTTTTCCTACCAGGTCCGATTTTCCTTTAGTATTCTTTGAAGTTTCCGCCTTTTAAATGACTCTTGAAGCTAAAGTACTGACCATTTGCCCCCAGCAAATATCTGGTGGTCCTTTCCCCGGCAGATGGGAAGGGCATCCAGATATGCCCCTGGCCTAATTTCAAGTTGGTAATTGCATTCTGTCGACTTGAAATTTCCCACCAGTTTCATCTGCCAGAGATGTGATGCCTCCCTCTGGGCGCTGGACTGCCTGGCATGCCGTTGGAGACAGGAACAGCTGGCACATTCCACTCCAGACGTGTGCACATTTCTCCAGCAGGTGCAAAGGTTTTCTTCTGAAGCATACAAATTCTAACCTAGGAAGAAGCTTTATGGGCACTTTTTTATTTTATTTTTTGTAACGAATAGAAGTAACTACCAGAAAAACCAGAAATAATAAAAGTGTCCAAAGCACAAATACGAATTGGGAAGAATATAGACTTTCAATAAAGCCAGTCAGTTCTAAGGACTATTTGTGCTCAATGAACCTTAACATGTTTCTGGATTTGAATGTTGACAGTAAGAATAAATAATTCACATGAAACAGGCAACCATTGCACTTCTGAGTGAAATACAGGTACACATGCACATATACATAAACATACATTGTATCTGTGTATCCCGACTCTCACCTCCTGTGACAATCTTCCTTAATTTGGAATAAAAGTAGTTTTCCTATGAAACCTTATTTGACAGCTTGTGTTTATCTCCATTACAGTAGGCAACATATTTATTGAAAATGGGCCTATTTCCTGTACCAAACAGGAATCCTATGAGGGGTCCTAAGTATGTATTTTTTCCAGCATATAGAGTATAATAGGTACTCAATAAACAAATTAAATTACATACTGCATACTCAATTTCTCTCAAGCTCTGTCCTCTAAAATGCTACTTTTGAGAAATGCAAGTCAGAAGTTTGTAGCCCATTTTAACATCTCCCCCGGGGAACCTGAGCTCTAGAAAAGAGGTATCACTTTGGACAAGCTCAGTGGCTGTCCAAGTGTGGCGTGAATGTGCAGCCCATTGTGTCAAGGTGACACCAAATTACACAGGAGCACAGAAGGAGTAGACAGATGGGTGTCCCTGCCACCATGCCTTGAAATGCACACTGTGGGATCCTCTGTACCTTACAGACCTCAGTGATTCTGAATCCTATGGCCCATCCCAATTGTTGTCTTACTTTCCGTTTTGCTGTAAACATTTTAGCATTAACCTGGATAACAAGCTACAATACTGAATTCTCTTTCTTCTTTCTCCATTCCTGCTCTTCTGCCTTGGAACCCTTTCACAATCTCATGCAGATAAAAAAATGAATGCTGATAACTCAGGACATCACCACAGAGATACACAAGCTGACTATCTGCATAAACACATATGATGTACCTGTTCCTCTACCACTTCATCTTCTTTCCTGTCACAGAACAGATAAGCAAGACAGCAAGAGAACTCCTAGATATGCAGGCTGTCAGAGTATATGCTATGTTTATTCCGGGAATTGAAGAAGAGGGGAAAGACTGTGCCTTAATGTGTTTTCCAAAATTTTTAATTATGTTAGCTTTAAATATCATAGATTACCAACATTTCCAGAGTCATTTCCACTCTCATAAACAGTGGAAAGATCAAAATTCTATCTCTTTTGAGACTCTGCAGATTATCATAAATTAACTTAGAAGTCCCCGGTTTCTATATGTCTCAAGATGACTTGAATTCTAATTTGTACCATACAGCAATCTCAAAAGTATCATCTGCATGCTTAAATTTTACTCTACTTTGGACTTTAAAGTGAAAAAATATTTTTGCAGTAGAATGCATCACTGCTGTCATTTCAAATAGACCATCATTAGGCAGTGCCCTTACCTATGAGGAGGGTCTTATGAACAAGAGTGTGCTGTGTTATGTTCATGTGACATTGTGGACAGGGTGCTGTAGAGGAGGATGGCCCTCCAGAGTTCACATGGTCAAACTCACTGCAGAGGTGGCCCTTTGTCTCTGTGAGATAGAGAAGGCAGTGAACATGTGGATTGAAAGGATTTCTCATCTGTTGCTTAAAGTACTGATGATGTTTTTAGAAATTATTTTAAGGAAGGTAAAACTAGAGATTCTGAGAAGATGGCGGAATAGTAAGCAGCAAAGTAAAAAGCCTCTCTGAGTGAAATAGCCCAGATACTGGAATATAGCATTCTGGTGAAGATCAGAAGGAAAGAAATGGATCCTCAACCCAGGAAGAAACTAAGTGAGAATTTAAGTCCACACAGAGAAGAAAGAAAGAAAGAAAGAAAGAAAGAAAGAAAGAAAGAAAGAAAGAAAGAAAGAAAGAAAGAAAGAAAGGAAGGAAGGAAGGAAGGAAGAAAGAAAGAAAGAAAGAAAGAAAGAAAGAAAGAAAAAAGAAAAGCTTAAACTGAAGGGGTAGCCAGACGCGCTTTCACCAGAGCTGGTCCCACTCTGTAAAAAGCATCATTGGAATCCAGAGATGCACAGTCACAGTGAAGTTGGAGGTTAGCAAGCTCAAACACCTTGGTGGGAAGACATGGTGGTTGAGAGGAGCAGAGGACCAGAGAACTGCACTGGTTGGTGATGCGTGTGGATCACTCAATCCTCCTGTAGGAGAGGGTGTTTGACCGGGTGCCATTTTGGAGTCAGGCAGGATAAGCCCAGAACCAGAATTGCAGTTGGCTTCATTCAGCCACTCCTAGCACAGAGCAGATTGGTGAAAATTGCTTGGACTGAGTCCTGCCCATGTGTGTGATCCAATAGCCAAGGCTGAGGTCTCCCTAAAGCTATCCCTAACCAACCCCAACTGTGCGGCACATGCTAATGTGGTGAAGACTACAAGGGGTTAACCAGCTCAGAAGGGAGAGGCCAGCTTGTCCCTGCATGTACTCCAGTAGTCACCAGTAGATTGGGGAGGGCAGCTATCCCTAGACAGCATGCTTCAGAGTAATTATAACCAATACAAGAAGTGCTGGGGAACCCACTACCCACTTGTCTGGAAGAAACCAGGAACATGACAAGAGGAAAAAACAAAATGCAGTCTCTAGCCTCTAACCTAAGCAGTATTGGCCCAGGAGAGGTAAACACAGAAGAGATGGGGAGTTGTAAACCTGCAGTTTCTGAAGAAATGGCATGTGACATAAATAAACATCATTGTGAAATTATAAAAGAACATAGAACAGAAATACTAATACAAGTAAAGGAAGATATAAGAAAATAATAAAAGAAATGCTAAGCACCTTTCAAGAAGACACAGATGGAAGAATAGAGGAGTGCAGAAAAAGGAAGAAAATATTTGATGAAGAATATAAAAAAGTTTAGAATACATGAAACAGATTCAAAGAGATTACCAGGAAATTAAAAACTCTATTGAAAGCTGGCAAAACTGCTTGAAAGAAATTAAAGATAGACTATCAAGCTTTGAAGACAGGTTTGCAATGTGTGATAGCGAAAGAAAGAGCTCTTAAAAATAATAAGGAACCAGGAAATAATACAAAGGCTAGATGATGACAAGAGGAACTAAAACCTAAGAATAAAAAATGTGAGTGAAGAAATACAAATGAAATACAAAGGCTATTTACAGAAATAATTAAGAAAACTTCCCAAGCATAGGAAAAAGAAATGATACTCAGATATATGAGGTATACAGAAATCCAGCCAGCTATAACCAAAATAGATCTATACCCAAACATAACCAAGATCCCAGAAATTCAACACAAGAACAGAATATTAAAAGCTATCACAGAAAAGAAACAGATCACCTATAAAGGAAAACCCATGAGAATCACAACAAACTTCTCAACAAAAACCATCAAATCAAGAAGAGCTTGGAGGGGCTGGGGGTTTAGGTCAGCGACATAAGTACCTGCCTTGCAAAAGACAAAAAAAAAAAAAAAAAAAAAAAAAAAAAAAGAAGAAGAAGAGCTTGGAGTGAAGTATTCTAAGCCCTGAAAGAAAATAACCTCCAACACAGATTGATGTGCCCTGCAAAACCATCTCTCAAAATTAATGGAGACACAAGATGCTTCCATGACAAAGAAGAACTGGGGGAGTTCATGACCACCAAATCAACCCTATAAAAAATATTGAAGGACACACTCTAAAGAGAAAAAACACCATGGTTTCAGGAACAGCAGCAGAGAGGGAAGATAGTGGAATGAAGGGGAAAAGTAGACAGTCAACAACAGAAAAATAGCATGACAGATGAGACAGAGAAGTAGACCATAATTACTAATAGAGTTGGTCTCAACACACTAATAAAAAGAAACACAGGCAGAGTGGATCAGGAGACACAGTCCATAAAGATGCTCTATATAAGAAATATAATTAACCTGAAAGAGGGTTTATAGACTAAAAGTCAAAGATGAGAAAACAGTGCTCTATGTGACAGGGAACCAGCAAAAAGTCGGAGTAGCTCACCCTTCAATTGCAGATTGTTTGGAAAGACTTAACACTTTTATGCAATGGAGAACTACCTAGCTATAAGGAAGGAAAACCCCTTGAAGTTCTTGTAGGTAAGTGGATACAACTTGAGATCATGCTCAGGGGTATAAAGATTCAGAATCACTTAGGTAAATAGCAGGTTGCCTCCCAAATCTAAAAACTAGGAGTTAGTGGGATACAAAATGTACAGTGCACCCTGTGAAAGTGAAACGGGAAGAAATATCTAAAAAGGGAAGGCAGAGGACATTGGTAATCTTGTATATTGATTTGAAAGCCATATTGTTTTCATCACTTTGTTTAGTTTGGTTATATTCTGTTCTTGTTTATCTACTTGTACTAGATTTGATGGCATGGAAAGCTATTCCAAAGACAGAAGAATATACTATGGTAACTATTTTTGATTTTCTTTTAACTTAATTTGAAGCCCTATATTGCTTTCACTGTCTTGTTTTGACTGATTTTTTTTCGAATCTCTTTTGTTTGATAGTATCAAGTCTGAGGGTATAGGCAACTACTTTGAAGACAATAAGATTCACTGTGATACCCATTCTGGTTTGACTAATATCTTCTTTTGAAGTCCTATAATGTCTCCAATACTTTGTTTTTATTGATTTTTTTCTGTACTATTATGTTCAATTTTATTATGCCTGATGGTATGGGCAATTCTACTGAAGATAACAAGAGACATAGCAACCATTGTTCACCACTTTGTATTTTGCTTTTAAGTCATGTACTATGTCCCTCCTTTTGTTTTGACTGACCCCTTTTTGTTTTCTCTCATTTGGTTTTATATTCTTCAAAATTAAAAAAGAGCACTTACAAGTGAAAAAAAAGAGGGTAAAACTAAACATAACAAAATACAACAAAGCAGATCAGAAGAAAATAATGTGACAGATTTCAAGGCAAGACAACAGGAGATCTACAGTGGCTGCCATACTGTTTCTTGTTTTCTTCTAAATAATTGTCCATATCTTCACACACAATGAATTCATACAAAACAAAATAGTATAAAACTGATCAGAAAAGAGTAATGAAGGCATTATAGGTCTTCAAAACCAGACAATAGGAAAATCAACAATGGCTGTCATAATGTCTCTTATTCTCTTCAAATTAGCTGTTCATACCTTCATGTATGTTGAAATTAAACAATACAAACCAGATTAAAACCATAGAGTAGTGATGTTTATATTTCCAGTACCTCTGATGAATTCAAACTGAGATTAGAGACTGAGGGGGTCTGAGTGTCATGGAATAAAACTCTGAGGTTTTCAATGTTAGATTACATAAAACCTGTTGGGCACCTGTTTCATCTTTTTTTTTTTTTTTTGATTTGTTTAAAATTAGTAGTAAGTTTCACTAATTTTTAATTTTCTGTAAAAGGTTTCCTTTTCCATTATAAAATGTTGAAATAAAAAATTGTAGAGAAATAAACACAAAATTGAAACATCTAATTTCATATAACCCTATTGTCAGAAACTGATTGTTATTTTTAGTATTTGTTTATTATTCAATATGAGAATCTCTTTCTTTGTTTCTCTGTCTCTTTCTCAGCACTATCTCGATTACATTTTTACATTTCAGTGTAATACTTCCTTCTGATGACATATTGAGCTACAACTTACACCATTTATCTATAGATATAAAAACACATAATATATTCATATGAATCTTAAAATATCTGTCTTTTCTGCCTGTATTCTGAAATGGCTTTCTGTAATAAGAGACAAACACTCTTTAGCAGATGATGGCAAGCCAATTGCTTAGCCACAGGAAGTCATCTCAGGGCTGATATCTCTTCGAGGTCATATGATGGCCTCCTGGCTGCTCTTCCTCCACCAGTCCAGCAAACTCTCACCTTGGAGTCTTTCTGCCTACAACAACCTTTATTTAGTTAACCATATCACTTAATTCCTCACTTTCTTGATCTCTGTTTAAAAGCTACCTTTTAAAATGAGTTTTCTCTGATCATGTAATATGTTTTGCACATTTTTATTCTCCTTCTCCTAAGAGGGTAATAAATTCCATGTGTCAAGTCTTTATATTCTGTGCATTGATCATTCCTCAGAGTATCCAACAATTCCTGATGTATTACAGGTATTCCACAACACATTTCCAATAAACTAACGAGTGTCTAGATGTTTTAGCAATGTAAAATTAAGATGATCATCTTGCTTATCCTAGTTCACAAGGAAAGTCTAACGGAACCTAATCCTATGACTATTTTTGCATCTTTCTCTATGGTAATCAGTGATTTACACAGCAAGGCTAAGGAATGATATTTCCCTTCCTTTCATGTACATTCTTCTAGGTCAAACTTTCATTTTCCATAATAAACTGTACTTATTGATAGTTGAATAGCATTTAACTTTCTAGTAAGAGACAAAATCAAGTCACAATTCAACAGTTGAGAGGTATCATATACTTTATATTACTCTCTAATAAAATATTTTAAAATTCTGATTAAAATTTGCTTGTATGTCATAAATAGTCACAAAATATACCTTGAAACCATGAACAAATAAAGTAACATACTACCCAACAGTAACTTATTATATTTTGTATGCCTTGGAATTTCCTATTAATGTCTTTTTGAGCCACACACACATATTAAATACTTCTAGGCAAAATGGTGGTACGAGTGCATGGATATAACTGCCAAGAGAAAATTATAAAAGAAATATTCATACTACAGTGAGAAGATAGTTCACAGAGTCAGGCTCGTGAGGAAGAAATTAGGTGAGCTATAAAAAAAGAAATTGCAGAAGAACTTAGTAATGTCTACTATCTAGGTACAGTCTGGTATCCTGCCAGTATTGCTGAGGAGACCATGTCATAAGAGAGACCATGCATGGAGAATGGCTATGCAGACCTGTGTTAGTTGAGGGAAACCTCATCAATAGTGGGAGGGCAGCCACTAAGAATGAGGGCACTGATGCCTGGTAAAGAGCAAAGTTCTG